AGGTCCTTGTAGATTGATTTAAAAGGGATTGTTGAGAATCCTTCCTACATTTTTAGGGCCCCAGAATCAAAACACATTATAGGGGACCTTCCCAAACATTGCTGGGTCCTGAATAGGCCGGTCCGAAAACACATTATAGGGGACCTCTTGAATAAACAGGGTCCAACATTACCATTAATATTACAGTGCTTGGGCCCTAAAACCCCATTATTTGGGTCCTTGGACCCTTAGGGCAACCTATTCGAATCTTAAGGGTGCTGTTGTCATATTGTTGGGTGCTAGCCTCAAACCCTAAACCCTACAATCCCTAAACCTTTAGCCTTCAACCCTAACCCTACGATCCCTAAATCCTAAACCCTACAATCCCACAATCCTTAAACCCTAAACCAACCTTTGCCCACAAAATGACTGAAGGCTCGGCGGCCTTCTCTTTTCCCCCCATCTGCTGTTGGGCTTCCTATCGGCCCCTTGCCTGAGATGAGTTTAAAGCTTGAAGTTACGTAGGTGGAATATGGAATTCCACAAAACCTGAACAAGATTCCCTTATACCCCATATTCTATGTACTTAAAGGGAGACTCTAGGCTTTAAGGCTTTTCAGGTTCAGGGCTTATAGGAATCGTGAGGCCCTGACTTGTGGGTGGCATAGAAGTCGGGGACGATATCATTGTGGCGGCTTGCACGCTCGAAGGGGGCCTCAATTTATGAGAGGTGCCCGTAAATGTCTCGTGTCTGGCATTCCTTGCCAAGGCTCTGGTAGCAGTAGTTCAGTCAGACTGGTGCCCGCTGTCAATGGGCAAGGTCCGGCAGGATCTTGGGTGCAATTTCGCTCCCAGCCTTCTAGTTCACAGGGTCATGCAGGAGTTTATTCATCAACCGCAGTGCTACTGCATCTTGGTAGTGAAGACTTTGAACCATGGCCTCTGTCTTAAGAGTTTTGGCTGCAAGAAGGATATATTTTGACAGCGCCTGAGCTGGAGCAGACATGCCTTCAACAATATGCTGTAAGGTATACGGGGGCTTCCCAAGAATTAGAGGGATCTTTTGGGAAACCCCCAACCCTTAATCATGTAGCAGCTTCCATCTTCTTTTCTATTCCTCGATTCCTTATTAACAAGCCTAAGCCCTCGCCCCCAAATACTAGCTTCCATGCTTACCATCCTAAGCCCCTAAACCCTAAGCCCTAAACATCCCTAAGCGCTTCCTAACAACCAGCAAGAAGCAGGCGGAGCAGCTAGCAGTTGGCGTCTTCCTTGTCGGGGCGCGGTGCTGCGTTTCCGGTCTATAGGGGTTTTAGGCTATGTGGCTACCGCTCAATATGAAAGGTCCGGAACAAGGGGGCGAGCGCACATCCCGATCCAGACCCCGATCCAGATCTCTGGATCAAGTCCCCGAATTCCGTTCCAAACCCCTCCGTTCCAGACCATCGAATGCAATACCAGAAAAGTGATGTTGAGCTGGGTGTCCGTTCCATGCCCGTTCCATACCTGTTCCATACCCGTTCCAGACCAAACAAAGTATTCAGCACATACTCACCCTGCATCA